ATTTTATTATATGTTGTTTATCTTTCCTCCAAAGAAGAATATCCCTTCTTTGGGAGGAATGAGCTCTATCAGACCCAATAAGTGCAAGAAATACATGAGGTGCTCATAGTTGAAAAGGTTCCAAGATGCCCCATGCCCTTCTTCTGGGCTCTAGAAGCCAGTTGCATGGGCAAAGGGACTCTGGTGGAACCACCTACAAATTAAACAGAGAAAAGCAGGGATGCAACTTTCGTAAGTTGCATGCTGAGTGGGGATTCTGCCTTTGACTCACCCTCGTTCCTATAAGTAAACCCAATAAACTCACTGGTTGCCAAGCTAGTCTTGGGTGGAATCATTTCTTTTGTTTTTTCTCAGTGCCCTCTCTAACGTGGTCAGACATTTGTTGACAGCTTCCCAGGAAAAGTTATACCGTGTTCCTGTTCAGAGAGATTTTAAAAATTATTTCCCAGTGCCTAGAGAGAAAAAGAAAAATGGGAATAAATCCTATGGAGAATAGATGTGATATGTTAACCAATTGATGAATACATTTCAATTTCATTTAGAGTCCAATTATTAACATGTATTGGCCCAACCAGATGGAGACAAGCACTGTGGATCTAAAATCTAATAACAAAAAATTCAGCAGTACATGCTTATCAGAGGTCCTCAGATAAGACAACTTGGTTATCTTAGCAGAGATGTATAACAATGGTCAAGATCACTGGCTAGGGACCAGTGTGACTGAGGATTCAGCACCCAGTGTGACTGACAGAGTAGCCTGCCACATCCCCCAAAAGGTCTTCCTAAATCCTAAGTTGATATGTGACTTGGAGAACGAACAGGAGTTGAGGGCAACCCAACTGCTAACATAACATTCAGTTAGGTAGTAGGGCCCACTTCAATTCGTAACACAATCAGTAGTGTAGAGAATTATAAAGGCCACCTAATAGAGACCATAGCTTGAAGAGATGATCTTTGATATGAGACTTTATTTGCTTGTTTGTTTGTTTGTATGTATGTTTTTAAGAGTATGGCATAAGAAACACAAATGGAGGATTGCCTCTTGTGGTGGATTGAATTAGAATGACCCCCATAGGCTCATATGTTTGCTTGATCTTCAGGGAGTGGCACTTCTTGAGAGGTATTAGGAAGTGTGGCCCTCTTGGTGTGTGTCTCTGGGGGTTGGCTTTGAGATTTCAAGAACTCAAGCCAGATCAATGTCACTTTCTTCCTGCTGCCTGCAGATCCATAAAGAGAACCCTAAGTACTTCTCAAGCACCACGTCTGCTTGCACGCCACCATGCTCCCCACCAGCATGATGATAATGGGCTAAACCTCTGAATCTGTAAGCAATCTCCAATTAAATGTTTTCCTTTATAAGCATAAGCAATAGAACACTGACTAAGACACCACTTGTTCTGGAATCTCTAAAATAAGAAGGGCCTATTTTATATGCTAATGAAATTTCAAAGCCAGTTGTTCCCAGATGGCCACAGGATGGGGGCTAATTGCCAGTAACTGAGCTGAGGTCTAAGACTTGGAGATTTTAGCTACAGCCAATTTCTTCAGAAAGGTGAGAAGCTAGAGGTTGAGTTGATCACACAGCCAATGACTTAATCTACCATGCATTTATAAGGCATATAAGATATATGCAATCTACCACATGTCTCTGTAAACACTAACTTGGGGTTCACAGACCTTGTGAGCCAGGCAAGCAGTTTGCCTGGGATGGGTACTGCTGCCCCAGACTCTGACCCTCTCCTGTTAGAGACATCTCTTCCATCTGAACATTCCCAAGTTGCATTATTTCATAATAGAGCTGTAATCCAGTGAATAAAATGCTTTCCCACTGGAGATGGGGACACAATAAGATATAGCAAGAAGTTTTCCATTCAGCTTGTGGATGGAAAAGATGCAGAGATGATGTGAGTATCCTCAGACCATCATGTAACCTTATCAATAAAGGGACACTCTAGATTTTATTCTCAGAATTGATTGTGGTTATGAGTACTTTCATAGTTATAAAGTCAGCATGGATAGCTGGAGGCATTGTTGATGACTGATGAGTTACACTTCTCATGAAGTATCCATCACTCACATGGAAGCTACAGCAGAAGGGACCGAGATCATCATCTTATTGGCTTCACACCTCAAGTAGCCCCAGCCTGCTCTGTTGTAGTTCAGTGCCCCACAGCATGTTCAACACAGGGTCACTTCATTGTGGATCTCATTCCTGAGAGATAGAGAGGAACTTTCATCAATGACAAGGTTTTATTCTTTGCTTTGCCTGTGTCATTGACCTTGTCACCAGTGCAATCAGAACTGGATGTACACTAGGTAGTTGAGGTCAATGAAGGCTCCATTAATGACAACAACATGCATTTTTCCAGAGTAAAGGCAGATTTGGTTACCAGATACTCCAATACAGTCAATTTCATTTTCTCTGAACTTGATCACCATGTCTCAAGGACTCAGTTGCTTCCATATCAGGGAAATATGGCTTCATGAAGAATAAAATGATCCAGAAGCTATTGGTTTTGAATTCACATTAGGTATTGCATTTTTGCAGACAATATATCTAATTCTTACAACAGTCCTATTAAGTAATATTTATTTCATTTTAAAATAGAAATATATCAGATACTTGAGAGAGAAATATGTGAGCTAGAAATAAATGAGATTAAGTGTTTTTTTTATTTCAGTGACACAGATCTAGAGAACAGTTAAGTTAGGGTGTGTCATTACTTGGGTTCATTTCATTCGTTCACTCATTCATTCATTCACTCATTCATTCATGCATGCATTCCAGGCACATACTGCTTCTTACCAACAGTTTACCCAACTATATAGTGCTTTGCTGTTGGAGACGATGGAAGAATGGGCTGTAGCAGTGAGTTGCTTTGCCTGCTTCCCTTTACGTGATTACAGAGACTGTGCCGAGCTTCTGAAAGTGCACCAGGAGTTCCATCACTTTGTCACATGGCGTTATCTATAGAAATGAAACTATTATGTAACAGTGAGTGTTTTGTTGCCCTATACACAGCCTGGAATGCCAGTAAAGCCATTTTTCTTGAACTTTGCTCACTATATGGTAAATGCAATTGAATGTGAAGAGTTTGATCTGGATTATTAGTGAGGGCCAGGGGAGCTTGACTAAGCTGGCATGGCAGCAGTGGGAGACTGAGTGGGCACATCTTTTCCTTTCTGTTTTATTTTAATACATTCAGGCTGCATGAAAGACAATATCTTAGTTTTATGACATATTTTTATCATAACACTTAATAATCTCTCTTTTTATTAAAGAAAAGGAAGAGTCAGGCTCCTGTCTTCCACTGGGAAATTTTAGCTAAGAATCTTTTTAATAAGATAGCTCTGTTTATTTTCACAGTTCTCTTCTATTTATGGAAGCTGATTCTAGTTTTTTTTCTCCTTATGGTAATGACTTCCATTTCTCTATTATAAAACTTTTATTTGAGTTTGCTTGAGTGAAACCAAAGTGGGTCAATTTGAAGAAGACATTAAATAATAGACAACATGATGATCCGGCAGGACGGGAAATCAAGGGCATTGTGTACCACCGAAGCTCACCAGACGGGCCTGCCCTGATCCTCCTGACAAACCAGAGACCAGAGTAGTCAGAACTCAAGTGCCCTCTCTGGTCATCTCCACATCCGCCATCCCCAAGTTCTGAAGGTCTTTTTCTCTTTCCCATTCTTTGTTGTCTAAAGTTTTCTTTTATATCAGCAGCCTATTTCTTTTGCTGACTTTGGGGAGATCCCAGTTTCTGCTGTATCCAGCTTCCAATTAAGGCAAGTGCACCTTCATGTCTGCCAAAGGGCTATTCCATCATGTATAGTGCATGCAGGTCCAACGAAACCCCTGCGTTCATAACTGAAGACACCTTTATTGATGAGCTGTATCAAAGTGTATAAAATGAGTCTGAATATGAAGAAGTCCTAAAAATTTCTTCCTTTTTATTTTAAGGGTCATGACCCATGTCAACATCCTTTTCAATATCTCAACAGATATAATTCACTGCATGAATGCAATTTGTAATGCCACTTAGTTGGAGCGATGAGTCTAAAAAAGAGAAGACCAATTGAGCAGAAGACCAACTACTGATATAGGAACTTGGGTCCACAGAGTTTGGAGTGATCATCCAATGGACCAAAGCTCACAAGTATCAGAGTTAGAGTTTATGTGCTCAACATTAGTTCTCAGGTTCTTGTCTTCCATTGATTTTCCTCTCAGACTCTCAGAGTCTAGATCAATACAACTCAGCAAAACCTACATGGTATTAATATACACAACTAACAGTCTATCTGGAAACACGTTTGAGAAAATGCAAATGGGAACATGTAAAGCAATAACCAAGGAGAGAAAAGCCAGGGCATGGGACTATTCTGACTACAGAAAAGAGTTTGTGTTGATAAGTAGAGAGTCAGAAAAAGAAAGGCTGACTGATGCTGGAATGAACAGGCATTTGATGGAAGGTTTGGGATTTATCACAGCAGCAAGATGCTCACTGAAGTCTCTTGAACAAAGGAGATGTGTAAAGAATTGTATTTTTTTTAAATCCATGTGACAAGAGTATTCAGATTGAGTCACCATGGAAGAAGAATGAGGGACTGAGGCTGTGGATGTGAAATCACATCAGGATGATAAAGACTTGAACTGAATGAGTATCATCCAATCAGAGATAGGACACTTGTGTCTCAGAAGCCACCTAGCGGCTACATACTTATGGTGCCCCCCAGGCAGTTACAGTTCTCCTCTTTAGAAAGGGGCCCATGGTAATGAACTGGGGAGAAAATGATCAGAACTGACCCTCACAGGGACACTACAGGACCAGAGGACACAAGCTAACATGTCTTTTGTTTGTTTATTACAAGTCAGTTTTACTTAAATCAGGACTGTCCAAAAAACATTGTTAACTGATGATCTGAATTTTGGTGTATGAATTAGATTATGGTGCACATTAAAAGTCATGAGACGTTTTTGTAATAAATAAGGCAGCAGAATTACTCATTAGTAATCTTTTTAAGATAAGCTATCAGGCTCACCCTCTCTCCCTTCTTAATTCCAGCGAAGATAATTTTTGTTCCATGGATGTATTTTGGGGGATTCTCCAAATACTCCATCAGGGTATCCTCTCCCCAGGTGATGCCTTTGTTCTCATTGGCATCTGTGCACAATAATCCTGAGACCTTACTTGTCTTCCTCCCAAACAGAGTGTGGAGATTTGGTCCAGTCTTATGCTTGCCTGTATTTTCCACGGTGTGGCACTGGACACACTTCTGAACAAAAATCTTCTTGCCTTTCTCAACATCACCCATTTTTAATTCACTCCTGGGTGATCCTAACATGTCTTAAGATGATGTGTTTCAGGGTAGAATGAGGCATCAATGTAGGCAACACAGAAGGTAGAACTTTGGGCAAATAGGAGGAGGAGCCCCTCACAACAAGTAAACCCATGTTGGGTAGGAGGGGCACAGAGAAGAATGTGAATGTGGTAAACAGTGATTGCCTTGTAACTTTCTGAAGACCTTGCCAAAACCAACTCAATGGGGAAAATATTTCAGAACTACGATATAATCAACAGTAAGTTTCTGCACACTGTCCACCAGAGAAACGTTATGTGGCTCACAAATGGCCACCTGTCCTGTCACACCACTGCCATGCAACAATCTGAAGCCAGGTACAGTTTCTGTTTGGCATTATTATCTGACTGTCCATTTACAAAGCTTAATAATTAGTAAGCTATAAACAAGGTAGAGCTACACTTTCTGGCAAGTTCTTGAATGTGACTGATTACCCTTGGCACAAAACTTCAGTTGCATGAGCCCCTTAAATAAAAACCACAAAGTGATCTTCCCATCTGTCTGAGTCACATGATAATCAAAGGCATCAGCAGCGCATAGAATTAGCATGTCAGGTTTGGACAGACTCCATCTTCAGTTTGACAGATGGAACTGGTTTTGATTTCTCCATTTTGCTCAAATTTCTACAGTTACACAGTCCCCATCAAGTGCCCATTGGAAGACTAAGACCTGTACCCAGGGTAATTGACTGCAGGCAGGATCTGCTAGATTGCTTCATTATTTATCATAAGACATAAGATGAGGCATGCCATTAGAGAGGATCAGTCTGCCCTGTTATCCCCCTCCACAGTGGAAAAAGCTCTTTCAAAGGGCACTCCAGGACACCTGGCATGCTCCCTGGAAGGAAGAAAGGATGACTTTGCTTTTTTGTGGCATTTTCTGGGCACCTGCTGTGTACTCCGCTATTGTTACTACGAGAATTAGCAATGAGTCATCAGTTTTACCTGCAAACTCTAGTTCTAGCTTCACAAAGTAACCACAATGACAAGGGCAGTAGCTGGAGCTGTTAAGTGTCATGTCCAAATATGGTCCTCAGGTATGTTCCTTATTCTACAAGTATAGAAACAGGGTTCCACAGAACTAACAAAGTCTTACCTAAATTCTCATACTTCTAGCAGAGTCAAAATGTAATTCTCTGCCCAGAATAATCGTAAAAATAGCTATGCTCATGGTAGACAGAATGATTTATTTCATTTCCATACTCATGGAATGTCTATAAGAAAGACAGAACAGAAAATTAATAAATCCATTATTCATCTTGAGGAAGAAGTAAAAGCATCACCCAAGCCAACAGAGTGATAAGTTTCAAAATGTTTCTATAAATTAACTTCTTGACATCTATTTATGGAAGAACATGTCTAGGGGGCATTTCAAAGGAATGATGGGATGAGACCAAATGCAGATGGTCATGTGTTGATAATTGTTGAGGCAAGGCAATGGATACACTGGAGTACTAATATTTGCTGTATTTGTATAAGTTTTCCATAATAAAATTCAAAACATGAGACTGATAAACCCTAGCATCATTAATGTGGAGAAATATGAAGAACCACACATGTAATGCAACATTCCACATGAAATCCTCAGGACCCTTTGCCTCATCAGCAACATTTTTTTCTATGATCTGTCTCAAATGATAAGAACTCAGGTGACTATTCACAAAGTGAGTGGTTTAGAGGATAAATACTTTCTAAGTTCCTTTAGGTTGCTAAGAGCTCATAAATATAATACCTGTCAAGAGACTGTGTTAGACTAGATTCTAGTTACAATAAAATCAGTAGGAGGTATACTTGTGTAAGCAAGCATATGTTTGTGTGAAGATGTTTGTGAATGTGCTCATATATGTGTGTTCATACATGTGTGAATATTTGTGTTAGTGATGTGAATGTGTGTACATGCATGCGTATGTGTGTATATAGAGAGATTTATCATAAAGAATTAGGCCATGATATTAATGGAGAATGAGTAGTCCAATAACAGCAAGGCAAGCTGGAGACCCAGGAGCGATGACTACATGGTCCAGTTGCCATTGGTGGGAGAAAGCCTGAGATTAGGACAGTCAGTTCTTTACATTCTAGCCCAAATCCAAATCCAAGTCACAACAGTGACATCCCAGCCTGGAGACACCATCAGAGAAGGAAATCTCGGGCCCACCTTTTGTTCTAGACGTCCATGGATTACTCAAGGCCTGCCTGCTACATGGAAAGTTGTTCTTCTAGTCTCTCTATTCAAATCTTAATTAGAAACACTCCCACAAGCACACCCAGTTAACCAGTTATTTGGATCCCATAAGGCCTAACCAAATTGACATAAACTTTACCATTACAGTGTCTAATGTATAGCATATTTAAAGATAAAAATAATAGAAGGAGGTATATAAGTAAGTTGCATATTAAATTTCTATAGCTGTCCATTAATAGATGGTGAGAGTTGTGTAAATGTCATAGACCCACAGAGACTCCAGGATTTAGAAACTCCAAAGTTGAAACCCCTGGGTAGGAACTTTGCTGTTTGCCTCACATCTGGCAGACTTCTTGTTCTTACTTCAGTTAATTGACACCTTCATGTTTTGCTTCCTTCTTTCCTTCTGGTGAAGAGACACTATTTAAGTTCTAAGCACCTTCTGTATAGTGCCAGAGCTCCTGACAGTGGCTGTGGGGATCAGCATTGTACATTTTTTGTAGAAGATTGGAGATGAAGCTTGGCATAAAGCACGGAAGGTAGAAACTTGCCTTGAATCTCCTTCCACATAACATACATCATTGTGTTGGTAAAATGCAAATTGAGGGTATCCTAGAAGGACACAGCTACTTCTGAACCCCAAATATTCTGCTGGCCCTGACTTACCCTCACCCCTTATAACATAGTGAAGAGAACAGGAAAAAATACCATAAATTCATCATTGTCAATTGTAAAGCATACTATGAAGAAACATGTGGGGCATTTCAGAGTAGCAGGGAAGCACAGTTTATGGTGGGATGTCTTTCTGTTTCACAGCTATGGGAGATGGGTTTTAAATAGTGTCAGCTTCCTGCATTGTGCTAACAAAATGATACAGACCAGTCAGCTTCAACAACAGAAATGTGTCTTTATAGCTTCAGAAGCCAGAGCTCATGATCCAGATGTTAATAGGCTTGATTTCTCCTGTTTTGCATATGGGGTCACCTCCTTATTTTGTTCCTTTGACCTATGTCATATCTTTGTCTCAATCTCCTTTAGGTATAGACTACAGTCACACTAAGTTAGGGCCTATCCACAAGACCTAATTTCATCTTAGCCATCACTTTCAAATATAGACACATTTGGAGATATGGAGAGTGTTAGGATGCCCTCACCAATATATGAGTTTTAGTTGGACAAAATTCAACCCATAACAGGGACCATACAGGAAGAGTGACTTGGAGTGGTTCTGGAAAGTGCAACATAAATGTGGTGACAAAGTGTAAATACACTCCTTTCTCATCACATCCACCTGCTTTGCCATGTGTTAGGCAATGTCACTAGGAGGAAATGTTGAAGAGAGATGCCCTGCAAAGTCGAGACTAGAGAAGATGGACACTAGAAGTCACAGTGCATAGAAAGCTAGATTGTTTACAACATCCAGTGTTCAGGTGATACCAGACAGGAGCAGGGCATCGTTTTTAAGCTTCACTGACCGGTGAAGATGAGAGGGAGTTCATTCCAGAGGAAGTTTTGTTGGAGGTATGACTATTCTGAGGAGGCACAAGAAGCAAGAGGGTCTGATGTCAAAAAAGAAAAAGAAAAAGAAAAAAAAAGTCTGGTGACATTGTTCTCCCTATGATATTAGATAATTAGCTTAAATGACCTACTGCTGTTTCTGCAGCAGACTCTACACACCTCCCCTGTTCTACCCCACGCCTGTTCTACTCCATGACTGTTCTAGTCCACGCCTGTTCTCCCCACGCCTGTTCTCCCCATGCCTGTTCTCTCCCATGTCTGTTCTCCCCATGCCTGTTCTACTCCATGCCTGTTCTCCCCATGCCTGTTCTACTCCATGCCTGTTCTCCCATGCCTGTTCTCCCCATGTCTGTTCTACTCCATGCCTGTTCTGACCATGCCTGTTCTCCCCCATGGCTGTTCTACTCCATGCCTGTTCTTCCCCACACCTGTTCTCTCCCATGCCTGCTCTACTCCATGCCTGTTCTCCCCATGCCTGTTCTCTCCCATGCCTGTTCTCCCCATGCCTGTTCTACTCCACACCTGTTCTCCCCATGCCCGTTCTACTCCATGCCTGTTCTGACCATGCCTGTTCTCCCTCATGTCTGTTCTACTCCATGCCTGTTCTGACCATGTCTGTTCTCCCCCATGGCTGTTCTCCCCCATGTCCCATCCAGATGCTGCAAGGTCCCTGTTCAAAGCAGTCTTGGATAAAAATTCAAATCCTTTGTTGTTTTGTTGAATATATCATGGCCTAGACCGTGCCCCACCACACAACAGCATGCCCTGCCCTGCTCTGTTCCACCTGTCTCAAGCTTCGTTGGGAACGTAGTCTGCAGTCTTTCCCTTCTTTCACGCCTGCCCTTCAGCCTCCCCTGGGGTGATTTCATCTCCTTCACAGCTGCCCACTTTCTTTAAACCTATTTTTCCTGGATACAAATGCTGAAAAAGGCTAGAGATGGCATGTATTTAGAGTTGTCTGCATGAACACTAAGTGGACTCTGAGTTTAAACCAGAGTATATAAGGTTGGGAGAGAAAGCAGTGGGATTAGAGAGTTGTAAGGGATGAAGCTGGGAAGACTTGAATAAAACACCAAATTCACATATGGAATTCTCAAACAACAAATTGAAAAATAAATAAAATTCTCTGCCAGGCTTCTGCTGCCTCCTTGGAGAAAATGGACACCATATCCTATGTGTTTATCTTGCTGAATACCAGAAGTTCCACTGGCAGATTATCCAATTTTTCTGAATACTGGTCTTGTTTCTGTTTTGTT